GGGTCGCTGTCGGCATGGACGTTGCAAGTTTGAAGTTCGCGAGCTCGTCCTCCAATGACTGAATGTGTTCCCAGACTTCTTCCTCCGTCTGGGGCCCTGCGCCGGAGCCCCTCGAGTCGGTGGACATTGCATTCTCGATGCTCGTGATGTGGATTTCGATGTCCTCAACACGAGTCTCTGTGGATGCCATTCTCGACTCAAGCGAACCTCCCAAATCCGACATTGCCCGCTCCAAACCAAAAATCGAATTGTGAAGGGGCTGGATCTGTTGTTTCATGATTTCCGCAATCTGAGACAAGGTAGGCTGAGATGCTCCTGAGGAGCGTTCCTCTGCCAATGCCTCGGGCGGGGTACCTGGAGCTGCCGGTGTAGATATCTGCGCCTCCACCTGACGTGGCGGAGAGAGATCCAGGCCGTCCATTTCGTGAAGTGGACTGAAAAGGCGTTGCCGGACTTCACGTTCGCCTAGCACTCCACGCACTGGGGTGCCTGGCTGCCGCGTGCTCGCCGGCATGGCAGGCGCCGATCCGCAATGGGCAGAGAAGAGAGAAACAGATGATAGGGCAAACGGTAGGATGTGAGGGAAAAGTGAAGTAAGGGTATCGGATTTGAGCGATAAAGGCGATGGCCTTGAGCCAGACATGGGGGAAAAGGTTCCCGGGTCTAGGCCTTCCAGATGGGGTCGGAGTAGGTAAATCAAAAGAACGTGCCGCATCGCCAATACATTGGCGATGCGGCTCGATGCGGAGCCCGATTTGCTTCACGCCTACGTCGCAGATGCATCGACGATGCATCGACGATGTATCGGTGATGCGGCGCGATCCCCCGACCCTATCTACTCAAATCCCATCTATGATGCCACCACTGAGGGAACCAGGTCCCGAGGTTTGCCTCTGTTTTCGGCCTCTCGGGGCCCCCCACGGGCCCCAGGACGGTCAGAAACGATGCCAGGATGAGGATCTCGTCGCGGGGGAAGGCCCATCGGGACCCGCTTCCCACGAACGTGTGCGTTTGTTATATTTGTTCTTCGCGAGGACCAGCGAAGAGCACCGCGCATCATCTAGCGAAACAAACAAGTGGCACGCGTGCCATGGCTCTTGCGCAAAAGGGAGGAGGAGGAGGAGGAGGAGGAGGATGAGGAGGAGAAGGAGGGGGGGCGTGATTAGCTGGTCGATGAGGCATGGGGGGTGGCCTAATATAGCACGAACTCTATCTCCGAAGTGGTCTCCAATTTGTCTGAAGATCCCGAAAAAAGTGGTCGGGGTGGAAGGGGCCGGGGTAGAAACGGCACTGGGCGGGGGGCGGTGCCACGCTGGTGGTGGTGGTGGTGCTTGGTGTCTACAGTGGTCGGTGCGGAGCTCTGGACGGGGGGCGTTGTCACGCTGGTGGTGATGGTTGGTGTGGGTGGGTGGGTGGAGGAGCGGGAGGGGCGGGTCGGTTGGGGCGGTGCGATGCCGAAGTATAAAGTGGACGGAACTCTAGACATCCTGCATAAACTGGTCGGGGCGGAGGGGACTGGGCCGAGGTTCCATTGGGCCGTTGGGGCACGCTGGGGAGGGTTGGGAGGCGAGCGGGCAGGAACGGGGCTGGGGAGGGGCGGGAGGTGGACGGGGAGTGGGGGCGGGCGCAGTGCGACGCGGAATAGGTGGTTGGGGGTGGGAACGTTTGGGAGGGGTAGGAGGGGAGGGTGCGGGCAGGGGGTGGCTGGGGAGGGCGGGGGGGGGCAGGGGAAGGGCGGGAGGGGGGGGGGAGAGGGGGGGGCGGGTGGGGTGCGATGCAGCATCAAAGAATCGTCGGGGCGGAGGGGGCGGTGGGCGGACGATCCACTGGGCCGTTTGGGCACGCTGGGAAAGGGTTGGGGGGGGAGCGGGCTGGGGCGGGCGGGGCTGGGGATGGGCGGGAGGGGGCGGGGAGGGGGGCGGGCGCGGTGCGACGCGAAAGAAAACTGTCGAGGCGGAGGGAGCACGGGCCGAGGTTCCACAGGGGCCATTGGGGAACGCTGTGAAAGGGGTAGGAGAGAGGCCGGGCGGGCGAGGGGTGCGAGGGGGGCGGGGAGAGTGGGGGCGGGTGCGGTGCGTCGCGGGATACAATGGTCGGGGCGGAGGGGGCACTGGGCGGAAGTTCCATCGGGCCGTTGGGGCACGCCGGGGAGGGTAAGGGGCGTCGGGGCGGGCTAGGGGGGGCTGCGGAGGAGCGGGAGGGGGGCGGGCAGGGGGGGGGGGGGGCTTGGGAGGGGTGGGATGGGGGTTGGGGAGAGGGGGGGCGGGTGTGGTGCGACGCAAAGTGACATGATCGGGGCGGGGGGGGCCCTGGGCTGAAGTTCATTTGGGCCGTTGAGCTGCGCTTGAGAGGGGCGGGCAGGGGCAGGGGCGGGGCTGGGGAGGAGTGGGGGGGAGGGAGGGGGGCAAGTGCGGTGCGACGCGGAAAAATATCACCCAGGCGGAGGGGGCACTGGGCAGAAGTTCCACTGGGCTTTGTGGCGAACGCTGGGAGGAGCACGGGCGGGGCATTGGGCGGAAGTTCCACTGGGCCGTTGGGGCACGCTGGGGAGGGTTGGGAGGGGAGCGGGCAGGGCCAGGGCTGGGGAGGGGCGTGGGGGGGCGGGGGGGGGGGGCGGGCGCAGTGCAACACGGAACAAAGTGGTCGAGGCGGAGGGGGCATTGGGCGGGAGTTCCACCGGGCCACTGGGGGACGCTGGGGGGGTAGGAGAGGGGGCGGGGCGGGCAGGGGGGGAGCTGGGGAGGGGCTGGAAAGGGGGGGGGGGGGAAGGGGGTGCGGGCGCGGTGCGACGCGGAATAGAATGGTCGGGGCGGCGGGGGCACTGGGCGGGGGTTCCACTGGACCGTTGGGGCACGCTGGGGAGGGGCGAGAGAGAAGCGGGCAGGGGCTGGGCGGGGAGGGGGGGCGGGTGTGGCGCGACGCGGAATAAGATGGTCGGGGCGGGGGGGGGCATTGGGCGGAAGCTCCACTGGGCCAGTGGTGAACGCTGGGGAGGGTAGGAGGGGGGCGGGGCGGGCAGGGGGCCCCGGGGGGGAGCGGGTGATGGGCGGCATGGGGGCGGGTGAAGGGGGGGCGGGCGCGGTGCGACACGGATCTGAAATGGTCGGGGCGGGGGGGCGTTGGGTGGAAGCTCCATTGGGCCATTGGGGCACGTTGGGGATGGGTGGGGGGGGAGCGGGCCGGGGCGGGAGGGAGGGGGCGGGGGCGGTGCGACGCAGAATAAAGTAGTCGGGGCAAAGGGGGCATTGGGCGGACGTTCCATTGGGCCGTTGGGGCACGCTGGAGAGGGGTAGGAGTTCGGTTGCGGCTAGACCCTCATACTGTTTCCGTTTAGAAAACCGACCACTTGGGAGGAAGAGGTTTCTACATATTCCCGGAATTGTAGATCTACAGTTTGTTGGTCCCAATTCTACATTTCGTTGGGTGATGTGTAGAAGCATTGTCCACTGCGCCCACTGCGCCATTCTACACATGTCTGCTTCAAGTGTAGAATTTGAGTTGTGTTTCCACACAGTTCTGTGTGATATGCAGAAGCTCCGTGTTCTGATGTGTAGAATTGGCTCGCCGAAGACAAACTACACAGATCCACGAGTGTGTAGAACCTGATGGTCGGTCCTGAGCTCCCACCTAGTTTGAGGGCGTGCAAACAACCGAAGGTGGGAGGGGGCGGGGCGGGCAGGGGCGATGCTGGGGAGGGGCAGGATGGAAGGGGCGGGGAGGGGGGGCGGGCGCGGTGCGACGCGGACTAAAATGGTCGGGGCGGAGGGGGCACGGGGCGGAGGCTCCACTGGACCCTTGGGGGGCGCTGGGAAGGGGCAGGAGGGGGCGGGGCAGGAGGGCGCGCGATGCGACGCGAAATAAAAAAAATTGAGTTTTGACAACCTGTGCAAGAGAATAAACGCACGGAATCGAATGCACGGGGAATGGACTTCAAAGCGATGGCCAGTTTTTCTCAGGACCCGTTTCCCCGATGCCGATAGGGGGGGTGGCCGAGGTGTCCATCATCTTGTTGGGGGAAAGGGGGGGACACAGAAAACTGTTTTTTTTTTTTAAACGACGCACTGAATCGAACGATGCACAGAGAATCGACGTCCGAGCGATGGCCAGTTTCCCTCCAGACCCCTTTTCCCCCATGTTGAAAGGGATGGGTCGAGATACAGTCGGCCCGAGGTACAGTGTCGTTTTTAATACATGCTCCGCGTGCGGATCATATATTAAAGTGCAGGAATGTAGTATTAAAAACAACGATGAGTTCATGCATACATTTATCCATACACTATTCATATATTAGAATCCAATAGTGTTAGAAATCCCATGTATTAAAAACTGCCCTGAATAAGATCGAGGTCGGTTCGGGTAGGGTACCCTCATGTCCTTCGTGGATGTTGGATGTCTTGGTGCATCCCGCGGAGGGTGCCCTTGGATGTTCTGTGTGTGTGGGCCGGCGGAGGGCCTCGCGTTCTTGAAGGCTGTGTGTCTGTCCTAGGTCCGACTGTGTCTCTCCAGAGAGGGGGCGAGGGAGGGCGGGGCGCGAGGGAGGGAACGAAGGGAGGGAGCGAGGGAACGGGCGGAGGGGAGAAGCGCAGGGAGGGAAGGATGGACGGAGGGATTCCCTGGGAGCAATGGGTCGTTGGCGCGTCGTGTATCTCCATCGGCCCTCCGAGGAGCAGTTTCCCAGGCGAGTTGTCGCGAGGGGAGCAGCGGGGGTGCATCAGTGAAGCAGCGCGGGGAAGCAACCGCCGAGCCAGACTTCGAAGCTGGTGTCAGCCCACGACAATGACCGAGTTGGCGATCTGCGGGGTCCAATCCGCCGCGTTAGGGTTGGAGCCCTGTTCGGAGCATGTTGGGCTCTCTCGGGGCCACTTGGGGAGCTTTGAGTGCTTTCTTGAGGCCAGGCTTGAGGTCACTGATAGAAATAGATGTCAGGATTACGCGGTCCCCGCAGAGCCCTTCTGGATCACGAAACATCGTCTCTCGGCTGGCACGCTCTTGGGAGCGTGTGGGGCCTCCTGAGGCTCTTCTGGGCCCTTCGCGAGGCCTTCCTGGGCCATCTTCGGACCACATTGAGCACGCAAGAGCCCAGCCGATGTGTTAAGGATCACTCGACAACTCCCGTAGCCACGTTGATTCAAGTTCCATCTCGGGCAGGCTGTATCCTTCTTCCAGCGTGCCGCCATAAGAAATGCATTCTCCGACGTCCACCGCCGTGCGAGCCTGGGCGTTCCTGCTGCACCTCGGTAATACCCTCGCGGCGCGTGACGCGGACCACCGCAGCTTCACCATGCTGCAGAAGGACGGGGTAGTCCACTGGGCGGAGGCCGGTGCCAAGGTCCTCACGTCCTCCAGGAGTGGGGCGCCAGAAACAGCGGCTCAGTGGCGGGCGCGTTTCCCCGCGAGGACTGGCGAATTCGTTGGCCCGGACATGTTCACCCAGAAGAAGTGGGAAGATGCAGTTCTTCACACATTCGGAGAGGGTGCGCTAAATCCAAGCCCGAGCAAAGCTGAAGCCCCGTTCGATTTCAAGTCCAAAGAGGAGTGCAAGTATAAAAACGAGGCGGGAGTGCAGTTTGATTGCAGGGGCAAGAAGGACGATCCAGCAATGAGAGCCATGTCGGTGAGCAACTTGAGGAAGGTATGGAAGTTCATAGGACTCATCGCAGATCCAGAGACAGGCATGGTTGTCTGCCCCAAAGCATATTACGGGGATCCGGATTGCACTGGCCCCGGGGAACTCAAGCCGAAGCAGGCAGTGAGTATGAATGTTCTGAACGACGTCCTTGTGAAGCCACTCACAAAATATACCGAGCTGTCGCTCGTTGGCCACATTGGCGGCGGCAAACCAGATTATTTCATCTCTCACAGCTGGGGGGGCGCATTCCTTGGCTTCTTGGCGGCGGTCGAAGGGCACTTTGCGAGCCTGACTGGCAATCCTGATCCTGAAACGACCTACTACTGGATCTGTACATTCGCAAACAATCAGCACGAGGGCAAGATCGCTGCCGACATGGGGAAGGGAATTACTGACGCGCCCTTCTACCGGGGAATCCAGATCGCCAAGGAAGTGATTTCTGTACAGGACGACACGCAGGGGGCACAGTTCACCCTTCGCAGGGCCTGGTGCGTGTTCGAGATGCTAATCGCGTATGAGTACGACAAGAACATCATCTTCATGTGCAGCAACGGCCACGGATTCTCAGAAGATCGGATCTATGACGCATCTGGGGAGCATGACGTTTCGGCCGGGATGCAGTGCGATCAGAGTCTCATCCCTCGTATGTTTAATTTTGATCCCACGGAGGCGTTCGCCCAGGGAGACCAGCGCACGGAAATATTGAACTTCATCAAGGACAAGGGGTGCAAGTACACGAAGGTCACCGAGATGCAGGATGACGTGGAGGAAGATGAGCAGGCGCAGGATGACGAGGAGGAGGAGGGCAGGGGCTCTGCGCAAAACGCAGTAGAGCCACCAGAATCCCCAAAGACCCAGAATGGCTTCGAATGCTTGAAGTTCAAGATGCAGCACTTGATGCGGATGAACCTTGAGTGGCGCAGACGGCCAAATCTTCAAAAGCAGCATTACGACGATTGTGTGGCCTGCGTTCGTCACAATTCTGGAAGCTCGGGAGCCGACGCTTCGAACGTCTGGTGTCAACGAGCGGGTTGCGTGCGCGGCAACAACACTGTAGCTGCACGCGCGTCAAAAATTTGTGGGGACGAGTCGATCCTCTGGGGGGAGCAAGCGTGCTCAGGGGATATGATTGGTGCCGACATCCAGTGAGGCTCCGTTGGGCGTGGGTGAGCGCCGCCGCTTGTAAGCAGACTTGCACTTTCAGCACAGACTTTGGCTTCATCTGGTGGCGAAGGAGAAAAGACTCGAAGACTTCTCCCGCCTGGCTTCTGCGACCTCGAGCTATCTTATGGCCTGTCTTGGGGCCTCCTGAAGGCATGCTGGAGGCCAGCCTGGGCCAGCTTGGACGACGGCGCGCGATCGTGGAGGCCACTTGGGAGCCGCCCGGGGCCATCCTGGACACCCCGACCGTTCGCGCAGACCCACCCCCTTCCAGACCCGGGGGAGGGGGAGCAGAGGGGAAAGGTCTGGAGGGGAAAAAGCACACAGACACAATGAATCGTCGAGGTCTCAGGAGCATGCGGAACTATAGGAAGTGGGGGGAAGACGAGACCCAAGAAATTAGATGGAAAAGTACTGGGAATCTTGGGAAATGTGTGTATTAATCCCCCATCTCCAAAGGATGGGGTTCTTGTCGTGACTCCGACCGCGCCAACTTCCTCACACACACGCACACACCCTTATCCCTTCTCCTCATGTTATGTTATGGTATGGTATGTTATATATGGTACGTTATGGTATGGTATGGTGTGTAATGGTATGATGGGTTATGCTGTGGTTTGTTATGATATGGTATGGTATGGTATAGTTCGATGTGTGATGTTATGGTATGGTATGGTATGGCATGTGCTGATATAGTATGATCTGGTATGATATGTTATGATATGTTGTTTGTGGTATGTCATGGTATGGTACGCTATTCCTCACATCCAACGGATTAGGTTCTTGAGAATTATCCTATCGCGCCGAAACCTTATCATTATCCCTCTTCCCTCACATGTTATGGCATGGTGTATCATGTTATAGTATGTCATGGTATGTAATGTTATGGTATTGTAGTTATGATGTGCAGTGGTATGTTATGGCATGTGATGTTGTGTTACGATGCATCATATGTGATGTTATGGTATGGCATGCCATGGTATGGTGGTTTGGGATACGATGCGATATGTTACGATATGAAATTACATGTCATGGTATGTATGCTATACTATGGTATGTTGTGTTATGATATCGGTTGAGATGGTACGGTACGCTACGTTATGTTATGATGATGAAGACGATGGTGTTGATGTTGATGAGTATGACGAGGATAATGATGACAATGACGATGTTGGTGATGATGATGATGATGATGTGGATGATGATGATGATTATGATGATGATGATGATGATGATGATGATGCTGATGATGATGATGCTGATGATGATGATGATGATGATGATGATGATGTGGATGATGTTGGTGATGATGATGATAATGATGATGATGATGCTGATGATGCTGATGCTGATGGTGATGATGATACTGATGATGATGATGATACTGATGATGATGATGATGATGATGATGATGATGATGATGATGATGATGATGATGATGATGATGATGATGATGATGATGATGATGATGATGACTGGCGGAGCAATTTCTGAGTGTGTCTCGAGCGAGGCGCGGGTTTCAGCACCCCCAGGGGGAGCCGCCAGGGAGTATCTCATTCCTCCGTTCGCGCCCAAATGGCGGGGATTTCTCGAGCGGTTTGCCTGCTTCACCACCCAACATTCTCTGCTGTCGGAGCAGATGTTGAGGATGTCTCGAGCGAGGCGCTCAGTTTCGCCCCCTAGTAGGGCCAGAACTAGAGCATGTCTCGATCAGTTTGCCTGTTTGGGTGGCCAGACTCGTGGGCACGGATCCTCCCCAGGATGCCACAGGAGGCTCCAGCAGGCTCCAAGAGGACAGGAGGCAACAGGAGGTCCCAGGAGGCATCAGGAGGCCACAGGAAGATTCAAGAGGCCACAGGATGCCCCAAGAGGCTCCAAGAGGCTCCAAGAGGCCCCAGGAAGCTCCAGAAGGCCTCAGGAGGCTCCAGGATGCTCCAGGAGGCAACAGGAAGCCACAGGAGGCCCCAGAAGGCCACAGGAAGCGCCAGGAGGCACCAGGAGGCCCTGCACCACGAGGCCCCAAGAGGCCCCGAGAGGCCCCAGGAGCAGGAGGCCTCAGAAGGCCACAGGAGTGGCTCCAATCCCATGTGTTGTCGGACGTTGGGGGGTGAGATCGCAGTGGAACCGTTCGTGTCGTGCGTGCGGGCGAGGCGAAGCTGCGTGGGCGCGCGAGAGGAATGAACCCGCCGTTGCTAGGGCGAAGTCGAGACAAGTGATTCTCCCCCTCCCACCCGTCTGGCGGTGGCCCGCGGTGGCCCGTGGGGTCCCGTGGTGTCCGCCGCTGCCAGGGCGAAATCGAGACAAAGGATTCTCCCCCTCCCGCCCCTCCGGCGGTGTCCCGCGGTGTCCCGTGGTGTCCCGTGGTATCCCGCTGAGTGAGATCGATATTGAGATCGATATTCGGATCGATATTGAGATCGATAGTGAGATCGATGTGGTGCCCCGAGGTGTCCCGTGGTGTCCCGTTGAGTGAGATCGATAGTGAGATCGACAGGTGTCCCGTGGTGTTCCGTTGAGTGAGATCGGTAGTGAGATCGATACTGAGATCGATATTGAGATCGATGTGGTGCCCCGAGGTGTCCCGTGGTGTCCCAAAAAGTGAGATCGATCGTGAGATCGATAGTGAGATCGACAGGTGTCCCGTGGTGTCCCGTGGTGTCCCGTTGAGTGAGACCCATAGTGAGATCGATAGTGAGATCGACAGTGGCATCGATGTGGTGTCCCGGGGTGTCCCGTGGTGTCCTATGGTGTCCCGTTGAGTGAGATCGGTAGTGAGATCAATGGTGAGACCGATAGTGAGATCGAGAGGTGTCCCGCGATGTTCCGTGGTGTCCCGTGGTGGCCCGTGGTGTCCCGTTGAGTGAGATCGATATTGAGATCGATAATGAGATCGACAAGTGTCCCATGGTGAGATCTATGTGATGCCCCGAGGTGTCCCGCGGTGTCCCGTGGTGTCCCGTTGAGTGAGATCGATAGTGAGATCGATTGAGTCAGATGTTGGTTCCCCTCTCTGCCCCCCCCACACACACAACCTCCTTATCACCCGAACGGTGGTCGTATAGGTACATATCCTCCTATAGATTGGGCCCCCCCCTGCAGCACGAATCCTTAGTGCTTTACGCTTGTTTCTGTATATTGCCCTACCTATACGACCACCCTTCGGGTGAGAAGGAGGTTGGGGGGGGAGGAACCAACGTCTCACTCGATCGGTCTCACTATCGATCTCACTATCGGTCTCGCTCGATCGATCTCACTCGATCGACCTCACTCGATCTATTTCATGCGATCGATCTCACAATCGATCTGACTATTGATCTCGGAATCGATCTCACTATCGATCTCACTATCGATCTCACATTCGGTCTCATTGTCGATCTCACTATCGATATCACAATCGGTCTCGCAATCAACGTCACCATCGTCATCAACAACATTATCGGCAGCAACGTCATCAACGTCATTATCATCATCATCGGGACACCATCATCATCACCTCATCATCAACATCATCATCACCATCATCATCACCATCGGGACAACATCATCGTCACAATCATCATCAACATCATCATCATCATCATCATCGGAACACCACCACAAGCATCATCATCATCATCTTATCAGCATCATGATGAACAGCATCATCAACCTCATCATCATCATCATCATCATCATCATGATCATCATCATCATCATGGGGACACCATCATCAGCAACAGCATCATCATCAACATTATCATTATCATGGGGACACCATCATTATCGTCACAATCATCATCATCACCATCATCATCGGGGCACCATCATCAGAATCAGCATCATCACCATCATCGGGCCACCATCATCAACATGATCATCACCATCACCTCATTGTCATCATCATCCTCATCATCAACGTCATCATCATCATCATCATCGGGGCACCATCATCATCATCAACATCATCATCATCATCATCATCATCGGGACTCCATCATCACCATCACCATTATCATCAACAGCATCATCATCAACCTCATCATCATGGCGACCCCATCATTATTATCATCTTCATCAACATCATCTCATCATCATTTCATCATCACCAACATCATCAGGATCATCAACATCATCATCATCGGGACACCATCATCAGCAACGTCATCATCATCAACATCATCATCGGGACACCATCATCATCACCACCATCGCCATTATCATCAGCATCATCAACATCGTCAACATCATCATCATCAGATTCATCATCATTGGGACACCATCATCATCACCACCATCACCATCATCGTCATCGTCATCATCATCATCATCAACAGCATCGACATCATCATCATCATCATCATCATCATCATCATCATCCGTAGCCATTTTGGCTCAAGTAAAACATCTATCAAGGCAGCTGGCCAGGACAGCTTCGCCTTGGTTTGGAAGCGAGCCCAGTTCAGGCTTCCGACCAGGGCTTTTGGCCACGGAACTCCACATTTTGTGAATAGTTTCTCTGGCACAGCATGGGAAAGGATCACCGGCGTTCAGATTCTTCCTCGCCATCAAGAGATCGGCGGGGTGCTAAGAAGGGTCACGTGAAGAAAGAAAGTCGAAGGTCTTCCTCACGTTCTGCACGGCGCTCACTGTCTCCCGACAGCCGAGGCATGGAGTCGCCAGCACCAATGAGCCAGCAGTCTCCAGCTTGTTCGGCGGAGGAGTTCAAACCAATGTTCCGTGAGCTGATGTTGGAGTTCAGCGGGAGCATGACCAAATCTATACACGAGTCGATGGGCACGCTGCGGAATGAGATGTCGCACAACCTCCACATCGTGCGGTCGGAGGCCGAGGCCAGGTGCGCTGCCATCCAGATCACCCTCGACTCGCTCCAACAGAACCAGCAGGCGATGACGGACCGTATCGTGAAGATCGAGAGCGGCGGGAGTATCGGCGGGGGCACCCCTTCCACGCGCGCTGATCCATGGGCTGCATACCAGTCCAGTTCAGGCAGTGGCTCCAGTTCTCAGGGAGACGATGACAATAAGATATGGCTCCGAGGGTTTCCGCGTAAGTTGTTGGCTCCGCAGTTCAAGGCTCACTATGAGACGAAAGTGTCACCCCTTCTGCATGACTCGATCAAACACAATGTCAAGCCTGTATTTCATAACATGTCCTTCTCGTACATGGTTGTGTTCCCGAGCAAGACTCACGCA